TGGAATTTTGCAAGTGACTGAGTGCGAAGAAATGTGTGTCAATTGGTTTTAAATATTTGTTTATGAGAGATGATAAGATACTTTAGAGGAAAGTAATGTGAAAAAGGTCCAAATCATTTATATTTTTTAATGTATTGAATTTCTGAAAATAATTTGGTGAATTGAATATTTATTTTATATCAGCGATTTTAGGTAATTTGAAAGCCCAAACGCAGTTTTTATCCTCAAATTGATTAAAAAAATATCGCAATGACCGAACGTAAGTTTTTTATTTTTTTCTTTCCCATGTTATTGTAACGCTACAGATATAGCAATACTTGATCTTTAGTATTAATTTTTTAGCATAATTTATTTGCTTAATTTTTTTCTTAACTTTTATTTTAGAATAGGGTATCAACTAGTCGATATTACCCATATTATTATTTTCTTCTTGGAGTTTATCCTCTATAAATTTATATTTTTCCATTTCTTTAATATAATTAGCACAACTTCAATATTTTACAACACTGGCATTTTCCCCCGCTGTTGAACTTGTTCTGAAGTTGTACTTTATGACCGAACGACCTTTACACTTGTCCAGTGTTAATTGTGGTGGGAATACAACAACTTTGTTGTATACGCCTCCAATGTGCATCCTATTAACACATCAATAAAAAACAAGACAAAGAAAAACCGAATACAATGTGGGATTTCGGTTAGGCCCTTTTATTAATTGGATCAGAACGATGCATTGTCCCCTTTTGGGAATACAGAAGTCATGAGAAAAAAAGAGGAATAATTATTCTAAAAAATTCTGAGAATAACTTGACTTTGAAAATAAATTTTGGTTGTTTATTTCACTTAAGAACTTAAAACGTTTAAAAATTATAGCCTAAAAAATTGAAAGTTTTGCAGCATAGATTATACATTGTATATGCATACCTATATAAGTGTGTGCGTGTGTGTCTGCGTTGTTTGAATCCAGCAAAACAACAACTTCCGGTCAATCATAATTATAGTTTGGTGGCGCTCTTTTTTTGTTTTGCATTTCTATGCATTGTTCGTTTTTGTGTTTCTCCTTCTTCATCGCTTATCGTAGTGTGAGACGGAGAGCATAACAAAAAAAAAATATGTTTGCAAAAAAATGTGTATTTGCATGTGTGAGTGCCCATGTGCTACAACGGTATTTGTCAGCTGTTATCTACAGAGTTGCCATATTATTAAAAGACATATGAAAATATTCAGTAAAGTTTGTTTAGTTTTTTTTTCATTAGTAACCCTCTTGGTAAAAATATGAAAGAGATTGTCCAATTAAAATACATGAATTGAGAAAATGTTTGTTCATTGATTTTTCTACTATAAGAAAGCGAAAGTGTCTAATTATCTAAAATATTCCGAATGATGCATTTTTATTATGTATATTTTATTCGTTTGTAAAAAACATTAAAACGAGGAAAGATGTCGTTAATCTCGGCTTGATCGAAGTTTGTATGCCCTATTCCATAGGGAATAAAAAATGTGCCATTAATTCTGACAATACCTAATTATACCCTACACAACTAGTATAAGTGATCCACCTTTTAATATATCAGTTGGATGAATTTACGTCTGTCCATTATAATTTATAATCAATATATTGGACGAAGTTCTGAACCAGTCGTCACGAAATATTGCTTTACTGATTGAAAACCCGAACGTACATTCATAACAAGTAAAAAGTGTCCGTCGGTGTGGCTGTCGATATATACCCTGACTTGATCTAATTTTGATATTGGATTAATAAATATTGAAAATTTTGGTCATTTTTGTGGGTGGTACCAGAAGGAGTTGACCAGGGGATGCCATCTTCAAACTTGGTATAGGCTTGGAGGTACCAGAAGGTGTGGACCAATGGTCCCATCTTCGGACTTGAGCTAGGCTTGGTAATGATAATTGGTGGGGAGGTACCAGAAGCAGTGGACCAGTGGGACCCATCTTCAAACTTGATATAGGATTGGTAAAGGTAATAGGTTGTGCAAAGTTTGGTTTTAATCGGACATTTCATTCGCTTGATATTTGATTTATAAATATTGAAAATGTTGACCCTTTGTGGGGGGAGATGTTAACAGAAAGAGTGAACCAATGGGTCCCATCTTCGAAAGTAATCTAGGCTTGGTAAAGATAATAGGTTGTACAATGATTGGTTCAATCGGACATTCTAGTCCACCTATACTGGGATCTTCCGATTGAGTTGATAAATGAAAATAAGAAATATATAAAATATAAATAAATACTTTATTTTACTTTAAATACTTTTGCCCGGGATGTTTTTTCTGTCCGATTCTCTGAAATGTAAATTACAGTAAGTTAAATCGGAAAAAGTTTCCAGGACCTTCAAAATATTACAAAAAAAAACTCCAAAATTCAAAATTTAGCTTATTCGGTTGAAAATGACGGCTAAGATCTACAACATTCCTAAAATAGAGCGGGACCTTTCTATGAGACTAGAGCTATATCAACGCCTCCGAACCATAGTATACTAAGTCGACTTAGCATGTTTTAAAGTTCTTTACGTTTTTAGTCCTTACGTACGGTCCTTAATTTAAATCCTCTGACATTTTGGTAATCATCAGCCAATCCAAACCAAAGTTATAAGCAAAAATGTACTTAGCATAGCACGTAAGATTTAAGAAACTTCCATACTTTGAGAGCTTCTGCTGAAAAACTCACTTTTCAGACTTAGCATACTATTCTTCAGAGGCGTCGATATATTAAATATTGCAAGCTTAATTATGATTTCAAATTCTATAAACAACATCTGATCGAAGTGGCCTAAAATTGGTAGTGCGGTAACTAACTAACACAACCAACGCGCTTCCGACCGAATTCGCTGTAATTTGGTATTTTGTAGTCGAGATAAAAAACTAGAACGTCAGGTTCGAGAATGAAATATATCGACCCGCATTTAGGAGTAGATACCTTCCGATTTTCGTAATTTTTAATATTTAGCGTGATTAGGTCCGACATTGAGCTATATCGGTCCCTAATTAGGCATAAGCCCTCTTATAAATTTAGCCCCAAATACTCGCTAATTTCTACACGATGTATTCAACAGATGGAGCCTCATATAACTTTGCCCTCTAAATTGCAGAATTTTAAAGATGTTATACAAATGTTGCATGCTTTGCGTTATCAACATCGGTACACGTTTTTGGGGTTTTGATATTTGAAAAAAAAATCCATATTAAAAATTTGAAAATTGTATTTTGTGTACATTATGGTTTACAAAAAGCAATATACCTAAGGTGGAGGGTGTCCAAGGTTTGTCCTCCTTCGAACTACAGGTCGCAAATATTTCGACAAGGTCCAGATAGACTATACTCTTACGGTGTTCTGGGTATGAAATCCTATTACTCACTGCAGTGCGAAATATGGGCTAAATATCCAAAAACAGGGATTATATGAACTTTGGGGTTAAATTCAGGATGCTTCATACAGGTTCTTCTTATATGAATCTATAAAACCCGTACATATATCGATAAGGAATTGTATAAGGAAATCTTTTTCTCATCTACTAAGTTTGGAATTACAATGGCTTGCGCAAGTTGTTTCTGACGTACTCAACTTTGTGTGCTTGCACCTGTAGGCTGGGGAGTGCTGCAAATAATGGATTGTTTTTTTTCAAATGTATGTATGTAGCCTTCTGGGGTGTATATGACTTTCTCATTATCTATAATTCCTGTGTGAGTCGGTGTCTATATGATTCATACCAGATTGTGTTGCGAGAACTTATTTATGGTTTTATGGATGTTACTTATTTTATAGCCTCTTTGCTATCAGGATATTTGTTGTTGTTAGCTTATAGTGTGAACAGAACTTGTTTACGCACTAGCTTATAGGTCGAACCTCCGTCTGCATATCGTTTTTTGATCTTACAACCGAAGTAAAATACCAGACCCCGTTTTAAATGAAGAGACCCGTCCTTTTAGTCGAGTGTATTTATATAAATACTCCGTTTCATTACTTCCCCTAAATTCCTGTTCTAAAAGTGTTTCTTGATTTTTCTGTTAAGTAGTTAGGAATTTATATTCAATCAAAGAGAATTATAGTACCACTTCAAAGTCACCACTGACCGATTCATTTCATAATGGACTTGTCACTTCGAATGTCTTGTTTTTTTATTTTTTGTTCTCTGTCACTCTGTAAATTGAAGTAAATTGAATTGCATTTGCATTATATGGAAGTAGACATCAGATGTTATTTTATTCTGCCTGTTATTATTGGTGTTGTTGTTTGTTGTGGCTATCGTCTGATTCGTGTTGTCTGCTGTTCTCTGTTTTGTAATATAAATTTTGCCGGCTGTTGTACGACGTATGCATGGAGGATGGCTAAATGATCAATGAATGAATGAAAACCAAAAGAAAAAAATAATGAATGGACATTTTTGTGATGTTGTTGTAATATGAAAGTGAATCAAATAACATGTGATTCTTTGAGGAGACAATTATTATATTTACAAGGAAATATTTGAAAAGCAAAACGATTATATGCAAATAAAAATAATAAAAATGTTTAATAAAAAATGACATTATAACTAAAAGTCAAGTGGAATAATTAAATAGAAATATTCATAACTTAATTAAAACAAAAATTAAGAGTGATTTATTATAATATGTATCTTCTTTTTCATATAGTTATAGCAACGAAAAAATAAATATATACAAAAATTGAGAAAATATATTTTGTGAATCTTAACAAAAAAACTTAAACAATGTGTCTCAAAATAAAAACTAAGTAAACAAATTAACATAATTTAAACAGGAATTGAAGTGAAATACCCAATAATAAAAATAATTTAATATTAACAAAAATGACTTCCCAAACATCGATAAAATCTTCAACAGCATCATCTCTACGCCCAATGCCTGCCATTTGTAAAATGTTTACAAAACACTTTCGTCGAAAATCAACGAATTGCTGTGCAAGGATAAATAACAGTACCAGCCGTTCCAGTAATACAACTACAACATCATCGTCATCATCCTGCAGTTATAATTGTAGAAAGCTGAATGCCACCAGTTCAATAACAATGTCAACATTTATTGTTTTTGTAATATTAAGTGTTTTAGTTAATAAGGTAAGTTGTTGTAGATAATTATTTGTAATTAATACACATTTATATGAACGTTAATATAAACACATCAATAATTATAAATTTTATATGGAATCAATTTAAGATAATTTTTATACAAAGAGCAGTTTAAAAATTGTCTATAATATGAAGAGTAGACCGGTTCGAAATGCTTGTGACTTTAGAGGTTTATATTTCATTACTGAGGGTTCCATTTCATTTCACTGTTTGATAAAATTTTGGGGAGGTGGATTAAAGACCTTGGTGGGTATAAACCCCAGAAGGAACGATTCGCATAAGTCACAGTTCGAAGATGTGTCGTTTTTGCTGGTGACCCTATTGTACTTGAAGATATAGCTTCATATCTTCATGTGTAGCTATATTATGTATTTTGTTTGCAAAATACGCCCAATAAATTTCGATGAATAAAATAACCGGTTCTCTAAATTTTTGAAACGGATATTCAGATAATAAAACCGATTATTTAGCTCGTTATTACCAGCTTTTTAACTATATGCGTATAAGGTATTAACACCGGTTTTATTATATGAATATCCGATTCAGAAATTTAAAAACAGGTTCTTGTTTCCCCGATTTTTTTCTAGATATGCATTTTTCTGACTAACCCGACAGGTCTACATAATGAGGAATGTATACTGAATAAAGATAGGGTTTTAGTGACAAGAAACGGGTAAAAACGAGAATAGACCAATAAAACGTTAAAATATCGATTTCTCGTCTTGGACGACCTCCCCTAAAATTGTAGAATATTGCAAGGATGAAAAATCAAATTTTGTAATAATTGGAATCCGCTTCAATAAATTAAGAACGAAATGGACACAAAAGAAATGAAAAGGACAACATGTTCTACAAAAAATTCTCATTTGATTTTACTGCAGAAATGTAATCTCAAATAATACCCTGTACCACAGTGTGGTGAAGGGTATAAAAATACTTACAATAGCTACAAATAAAGATAGGAAGCTATCTCTTAAAGTATAGTAGGGTAAGCAGCAAAAAATTATAACCATGCCATATCTCCGAACTTTGACCTTTGACTTTGACCACACTGTGGTGCATGGTTGTAACAGGCAAAAATAATCGAGATAGACCCATGGTTCCTTTTTAGAATATGCATAGAATCACTTTCTAAGTCGATTTATGCATGTCCGTCTGTCCGTCCGTCCATGTATTTTTGTTAACAAAGTACAGGTCGCATTTATGATCCGATTTGGATGAAATTTGGCACAGGTCACTTATTTGGCCCAAGGACGAACCCTATTGAAATTGGAGAAAATCGGTTTAGATTTAGATATAGCTCCCATATGTATTTTCGTCCGATTTTTTTTTTGCACGAAATTTGGTATGGATTGAGTCTAGAATGATGAGTGCTAAGTTGCGGGAAAATCGGTTCAGATTTCGATGTAACTCCTATATATAAATAAATGGTGCACCAAACACCTAATGTTTGTCCGATTAACACGAAATTTTGCACAACGTATCGAATTGAGACTTAAATGACGTTATTGCATTTTATTGAAATTGGTGCCGATGCAGCCATAGCTTCCATATGTATATCTAACAGGTGTCAATTTTTTTTTTTTTTTTTATTATTTTATTTATCGATATAAATCTAGCACAGTGAGAATAATAAAATTCTTATGAAGTGGTGCTAGTGGTACATTGAATATTTCAAGAGTATATTATGAATAAAGATAATAACAAAATATGTTTATTGTTCATTTTATATAAGATATTCTTGTAATTCATGTTTGAAACGCAAGATGTTGCTTATATTAGGTGGAATATTAGGTGGAATCGTTTTCCATAAATTTGTCCCATGATCTAAATCTGCCCGAATGAATTTAAATTTATCATAGGTTGCAGAAAGACATGAGTATGTTTAATCGAGGGAACATTGACATACAATTATACGGATGCATATGTAGAATATACCCAAAGGCCCAGTCCGACTTTACTACTTTCCTTACTGGTTTTTCTTCTGAGGTATTCATATACTCACAAAGATCTTTCATTTACAATATGAATTTTCCACTCCCCATACCATGATCACAATTTTGGTGCACAGTGTAATAACCATAGGTAGTATAAAGCTTCTGTCATAAAGCGAACTTTTTATACCTTTCACCCCTTACATTCTGAATTTCTTGAAAAGTTCGCGACCTTTATATAGAGGCCATGTCATTGTCAATTATATTTTAGTTGGTTGTTTACGCTCTAAGAAAATTAAATATCGAATTACAGACATTCAGGTTGGAAAACCGAGCTGGAATGGAATGTCAAATTGCAGTCACATCTGTGGGGAACTTCGTATGAAACTTTATAATATCGAAATGGGTACTATATCAAATCATGGGCCTATATCGTAGTTTTGCAAACATTTTTTTTTCAATCTGTAAAAGACGGATGACCAAATTTCAGTTTGAATGTGAGTTTAAAACATTCAATTGTCAGACTAATAGCTCGGGTATTTATATGGGGGCGATGACAAAACGTGGGCCAATATAGGAATTTGTATAGCATTCAAGAACGAGGCATGTCAAATTACAACTATTTGGTGGAAAATGCGACAAAAGCCTTTAAAATACTGAAAATGAAATGAAAATATTGAAACTTCATTAAAACATGGACCTATATCGGAAATTGCATTCAACGCAGCATTTCAGCCTCTATGGACCCAGTATAACAAACTGCTGCTACTTTGTTATTATAATGCGGCTAAAACCTTCAAAATACCGAAATGTGGCTTGAACTTTATTGGGGCTATTTCAAAGCATGTACCATTAACGATAATTTGTAAAGAGATGTGTATTGGCCTCTAGAAACCTGGGAAAGAAAATTACTCCTATTTATACCCATTTCCTACACAGTGGTACAGGCAAAAGGAAACGAGATGGACACATGGTTCCTTTTGAGAATATGCATAAAATCACAAAGTATAGGTGGCATTTATCATCCGAATTCGATGAAATTTGGCATATGTCATTCATTTGGGCCAAGGACGAACCCTATTGAAATTGTGGAAACTTTGATGTATGCAAAGTTTTGTTAAAACCGGTTCTGAATAAGATATAGCTCCCATATATATTTTTGTCGGTTTTTATCTGAATGGTGCACCAAACACCCTGTGTTTGTCCTATTAAGACGAAATTTTGAATAATGTATTTAATTGACTCTAAAATAACGTGCGTTAAGTTTTATTAACATCGAACCAAATATGGATATAGCTCCCAGATATATTTTTGTCCGATTTTTTGTAAAAGGTGCACCAACCTCCAAACGATTTTCCGATTGAGACTAAACTTTGCATATCGTGTTGAATTGATTCTAGAGTAGCGTGCCCCGTTCGCTTTCCTTACTGTTTTTTACTTTTTATACCCTACACAACTATGATTATAGCTTTGTGCAGCCACAATTGAAAGCCGAACATCACAACAGAAACCCACGGTGAAGGGAATCTGGACAAGTAAATAGAAGGACTGTACTGAATATTAGTAACATTTGTTCACCTCTAGTCGGTCAAGAGGGTGCAAATATTGCGAAATATTGCACAAGTTCAGAATTTAAAATCACAGAAAGTTAGATTTTCGTGGAAGTTGTGTAGGGTATCATATGGTCGGCCCCATCCGACTATACTACTCCGCTCAATGGTTTTTATTAAATTTGTACATGTATGTTTCGACTATTTTTATGTTATTGGCAGTTATTCTTAAGGTTGTGAGTGGTAGCAGCCGGTCGCAAAATTCTGGACAGAAAACATATCAAGACGTCAATTGGTGATATAACGCTGGTACAAAAACTCGATTCTGGACAGAAAACATATCAAGACGTCAATTGGTGATATAACGCTGGTACAAAAACTCGATTTTTTACTGGAAAAGTTAGTACCCATTTTAACGTTCGTTATAATCACCAGCTCCATCTGTTTTATTGGCCGTTACTTCATGTTAATATTTTGACACATGTAAATGTTATATCTGTCATTTGTGGCCCACAATCGATATGTGTTAATATTGGCAAACATTTAGCCAACACACTGTAATTTTTTTTATAAAAAATTCCCAATATAGGACAGTGGCTAAATGACCTCCATAGAAATGACAATGTTGATTACTTATTTCCATATTTTATATACAAAAAGCATTTATTTTCAGTGGACTGCAGAAACGATTCCATGAACATCCATTTGTGGTCACAAGAAATAAACTACTGACATACAATGCAGCCACTTCTAAAAAACCTATCCTCTATCAAGTTTTTGCTCAAACATATTCACAAATATGTTAGTTTATAACAATCTCCTTTACCAAAATTTTAACTCAATCATCATTTCAATGTCAATGTTTGGTTGTTTAGACCATATGCGGTATTATTTATCGAAACTTCTATTTGGAGGTTTTCACTTCGTGGCAACACAGCTTTTGAGGCATTCCCATTTTTGTCAAGTTAACCACCGCCATCACCACCACTACTACGACTAACAACTAAAGAGGATGACAACTCGTTAATGAGGACGATGTCATGCAAATTCCATTGACTTTGAGAACTACAAAAAGAAAAAAAACGAACCGAAACGAAAAAGAAGATGTGCCACATACTTTTGCCACACTGAACAATTGTCGGAACCGCTTTAGCAGTTGGCATTCTGATGTTGCTCCCTCATACAAGTTTTTTTTATTTTTTGGCGGTGGTGCTGGTGAAGATGGCTTAGCTGCCATTCATCCCAACAAATGCTGCAAAGGCAACACCAATCGATAAGAATCACCTTCATCGGCAGCAGCAGCATCATCGTCAGAGACACCAGCATCATTTCCATCAACATTGTTGAACTTATCCGTTTTGGTCACAACTAAATGGTCATTGGGCTTCCAATGCCATATCTTTTTGGCCAACAGCAACATAAAGAAACTCTTTTGATGTCATCAAAAGTTACCCGTGGACTATAAAATGAAATGAATTTGAGGTTTGTTTGGTATTTTCACTTT